ACCAGGTCCACCCACTGTTTTTAAGCGGCTGGATCAAATTTAGGAGCAGTTTTGAGTTCACAGTGCAGCTCCTCATGGTTCCTGTCACTTTCTGAGAGCTGTGGGTGCAGCTCCATCACACCCAGCTCACGGGCAGTGGGCTCAGGTGCCCTTTGTGGCACACACAAATGACATGGATGTGACACATAAGCAAGTGGATCAAAGTGACACCTCTAGGGTGTCACAAACTGGAAAGGTTTATTTATACTCTCCCACCTCAAGGGTTTGTTTCACCAACAAAGATGCATCGGCAAAAAGCAGGTCTAAGCTTCACCATACCTTCTACACCATTTCCCCTTAAACAAGGCAAAGTAAATATATTTCTCCTTCAGAATTGAGCAGCAATATCCTTCTCCCCTATTGCTTTCTAAATGAAGCTCCTGAAAAACCCTTTTTTGAAGCTTCCCAAGCTCATTTCCAGACCAGCTCCCCGCTGTGCTCAGGAGAAATGGATTAAACAAACCTTTTGAAGAGCAGCTGCCCGTGAGCTGCTCTGGGGACAGCTCAGCTCAGCTTTTTCCATGTCTCCTGGAAGCAGGACAGACACCAAAACTCCCAGGAGAGTTTTTGTCCCAAAACCTGCATGTGTAGGCAAAATGCTGCCTTTGGGTGAGAGCTGCACCTGAGGTTTGAGTCCCAGGCCCCTGACAGCACAATAAAGGTCTAAAACCTGTCAAGCATTGCACAAGAGGCAAGTTTTGATATTGCAAATATTCATCTCCAGCCATTTCCAGTTAATGAAACAGAGCAAACTGTCGAGGAAAATGGGAACATTACAGTAAAAACAACAACAAATTAAACTCTAATGCAATTAGAGAGTAATTAGGGATCTATCCTCTGGGAGCATTTTGGAACTCTGGGTCTTTCTCAAAAACCTGATCCCTCTGCAACTTTATTCCTTTCTAGTTAATAAGGAAGAAGCGAGTGGCACGGCTCCCCCTGGCTCCCTGCAAAAAGCCATCTTCTGCTCTGCAGGAGCAGGAGGTGCTGCCAGGTAAAGCATTCACACCTCCAGGCCCAGGAAAACGCAGGTGTCAGCAGAACAGGGTGCAAAGGGAGAACAGAAAGCACAGCAGCCTGTGCCTGCTGCAAGGTGACCAGAAACACACAGACCCAAAGGCTCCTGTGTACGAGCCAGGCTGAGCAGGCACGAGCCAGCCTGGAAAACCCTTTGTTTTCTTGCATAGAGCTCAGAAAAAATATGTATTTAATATCTCTCAACTTTTTAAATGTACTCACAAAGGTACTCCTATATATCTTAACTAAACCTACTTTAACTATATATATATATAAGGTATATATATTAAAAATATATAAATATATATAAGGTATATATATAAAAATATAAAAACATATATATGAGGTATACATATAAGGTGTGTATATATAAAAAAGGTATATATATATATGGTGTATAAATATAAAAAGTTGTATATATATATAAAAAGGTGTCTATATATACATCTAAAAGGTGTATATATATATCTAAAAGGTGTATATATATATATATAAAAGGTGTATATATATACATATAAAAGGTGTATATATATATATATAAAAGGTGTATATATATATATATGGTGTATATATATATATAAGGTGTATATATATATATATAAGGTGTATATATATATAAAAGGTGTATATATATATAAAAAAGGTGTGTATATATATATAAAAGGTGTATATATATATATAAAAGGTGTATATATATATAAAAAGGTGTATATATATATATATATAAAAGGTGTGTATATATATATAATAGATATATATATGTAAATGGTACATATATATATAAGGTATATATATAAATATAAAAGGTGTATATTTATATTTATATTTTAGCTAAACCTCTCGAGCTTGCTGCAGGACAGAGCAGGGCAGGCTCTGGGCATCAGTGGTGCCCCAAACCTGCACACTCCCTGATACCCAGGAGGGCAGGGGATGTGCAGTGTGGTACCAACAAGGCATGCAGGAAATCACAAGGAAACTGAAAGAGCAAGGAAGCACCGTCCCATTCAGCCACTTTTCCACCCAGGCTCATCCATACGGTGCCTGAGGGTTACAGCAAAGCCTGGTGCTGTTAAATCCTCCTCTGGGGGATGCAGACACTGTGAACTTCAGAGGGTGAGGTGGTAGGGCATGGAGAAAAGCTTTCTCTCCATTCCCCCAGGCTGCTGCTATTGCTGGGGGCAGCCCCATCTGCATTTCACAGCTCCAGTATTTCTCAGCAAGGGGTGATTTTCGTGCTTTGAAAGGAGCAATAAGGTTGTGTCCTGCCATATGTGCTGCTGCCTGCCCTGTCAGGGACATAACCCCCTCTGTGTTCAGCACAAGAAGGCACCTGTGCAAGGAAGGGAGGTGGGAACCTTGACCTTCAACTGTTTCTGTGCCTAAATCTGCCCTTGGGACACCCAGAGCCCCATCCTGGCCTAGAAATTGGCCCAGTTCTGATCTCTCAAACCAGTTCTGGATCTCAAGTCACACCTCTTTCCTTGGGAGCTTAACCCAGATAAAGTGAGAACCCCAGATCCCAAAGTGCCCATGGCAGCAGCGCAAGGACCAGCCCCACACCCCACAGCCATTCCCAAGATGGTTTGAAGAGCCTGCCAAAACGTGAAAGAACACCTTGCAATGGAAAAGAGCATGATTAGAGACTCAGAGGTCTCAAAAATATGCCAACTTTTGGTCAAAAGTTGCTTCTTGCAAAGGGATAATTCTCAACAAACCCCCACTATTTTCTGCCCTTAACCACTGGCATGAGTGCTGTCTGTTGGGGGGTTTGGGGTTATTCCCTCCCTCCCTACAGGGAGAAATTACAAATCCACCCCCAGACCTGATCAGACATCAGCATTCCCAGGTAAATCCCCAGCAAACGGGGAGAGAGGTGGTGCAGGGGCCATAAATCCCCAGAGAGAGGAAGCCAGCTGTGAGCAAGGTGCTCAGTCAGCAAGGACCAACGGGCTGCACCAATTCCTCTGCACACAACACAAATCCAGGCAAATATCAGCAAAAACAGCTCCTTATACACACACTTTTCAAGTGGGGGCAGTCAGCAATGCTGCTGATAGCTGGGGAGGTGCAGCACACCTGGAAAAGTGAAAGGCAGCAGCACTGCACCTCCTCTGTGCTGGCCAGGTCAGGAAAAGGCAGAAAAGCCCAAGGGAGGAAGGCTGGATGAAGAAGAAAAGTTAAGACTGAGCAGCTCAGAGGCAAGGGAAATGACTTCTGAAACACCCCAGGCAGGCAGGCACACACAGAAACCACGGTGAAATGTACAGACTAGGATCAATTACTCGGAGAAACTCACAAGTGAATAAAAATGGTCAGATAAAATCAATTGTGAGGCCTGGAAATCACCTCAAATGTTGAAACTGTCCCACCCTAGCATGTGACCCGACATCAGCATCCTCCCCAGGGACAGGGATGCAGGAGGTGCTGGTACAGGGAGACTTGCATCAGGAGGTTAATAACCTACAGGTTTGCACTATTCTGAGAATAATAAAGGATCCCCAAGCTCCTGCTTCTGATAAAATCAGGGGGAAAGACCACACTGTTCTGAGAGTAATAAAGGATTCCCAAGCTCCTGCTTTTGATAAAATCAGGGGGAAAGACCCATTTGTACTCTAGAAAGCTCCTGTGCTGCCTCTCCTTCCTGTCCCTTCCTACAGCAGATGAGTCACTGTCTAGAACCTTTAGCAAAACACCTCTTATTGTTTATCAGGTCCCTGCTACTCACTGCCCCACAGCACAGTGCAGTGTCAGGCAGTGCTCCAGGTCGCTCTCCCTTTACTGTGGGATGATGAGGAACCCAAAACTGAAGCTCCTCTGTCCAGCATCCCCCGCCTGCCCAAGAGCATCCCCTGCTCACCTCTCACCTCCCCGGCTGTGTTTTGCAGAGGGACAGCACGTGCAAGAGCAAACAGCACAACCCCACGCAGAAAACGCAAACTGATGGGTTTTAACTCAACGCTCTGCAAATCGTGTTCTTCACCAAATACCACACACTCAGGCCACTTCAGCACCACGGGAGGTTCAGAGGAGTGTGTGACCATCCCAAGGACAGCCACCCAAGCATGATTAGGGTCAGGAGCTAGGTAGGCACTGATGTCACTCACTGGGGTACACAAACCACTGGCAATCCGCTCAGGGGGCAGCCCCAGAGACCCTTCCCACAGCCCGAACCAGGGGTCATTTCACTCTCCCTGTGCTACGCACAGCTTTGGCCGGGCTCTGACCTCCGGACACCCCCGGTGCAACATGTGGGGCCCGGCAGCCCCCCGGCCTCACGGCCCGATCCCCTCAGCCGGCCGGGCTGTCCCCAGGGACGGCAGCCCCGGCCTCCCTGCAGCCGCCCTGCTGCCTCAGGAAGTTCTCCCAACTTCCCAAACAACGCAGAGAACAGCCTTGTTTTCCCGCATCTGCGGACATCTCTGATCGCACCCCAAGAGCCCCGGGAGCTCCCGTTCCGCCGCCGGGCCGTGGGGCCGCCGGTGCGGAGCTCACCCAGGCAGAGCAGCCCGAGCTGCACCCGCAGCAGCAGCAGCACAGGGGCTGCTTCCCCAGGGTCCTGCACCCACAGGCCTGCCTGCTCCGCCCGCCGCCTCACAGGTGGATGCAGCATTCCCTAAAAACTCCGCCGGGAGAGCAGCCCGGGGCTCGGCGGGGCTGGAGCGCTGGCAGGGCGAGCGCCGGTCACCGCCGGGCTGCGGGGTGGCACAGGGGGCACAGCATCCCGGGGGCGAACCCGCATCCCGGCTCCATCCGCAGCAGCGCTGGCATCGCCCGAACCGCGCCGGCAGTCGGTCAGTCAGTCCCGGCCGGCACCGGACCGCCTCCCACCGCCCGCACCGACACCGCTGCGAGCAGCCTCCGCTCCCTCTGCAAACTTTCCTGCAACTCCCATCAACAGATCCCCGCAGCCACCCCCGCGGAGCCGGCGGGTCGCTGCCCGCTACCTTCGGGTCCGGCCGCTGCCTGCGGAGCCGATGTCCAGCGCCTCCAGGGCCGGTGCCTCGGGCGCGGCGGGGCCGCTCCAGCCGGGCGCCGGCGCCGCTGCCCCGCGCTCCGGGGCCGCCGCAGCCGCAGCTCCCGCCGCTCCGCCGAGCCCAGGCCGAGTGCGGCGGGGGGCGGCGGGCGGGGCCGGGCCGGGGCCGCGGCTCCTCCCCGGCAGCGCCATTGGCTCCGCCGAGCTCCGCAGGGCCGCCCGCCCGCAGCCCCCGGCCCGGCCCCACAGCCCCACAGCCCCACAGCCCCGGGCCCCACAGCCCCCGGTCCGGCCCCACAGCCCCGGGCCCCACAGCCCCCGGCCCGGCCCCGCAGCCTCCGGCCCCACAGCCCCCGGTCCGGCCCGGTCCCGCAGCCCCCGGCCCCACAGCCCCCGGTCCGGCTCGGTCCCGCAGCCCCCGGCCCCACAGCCCCCGGCCCCGCGGCTCCGTAGCCACCCGGTCCGGCCGCCCCCGGGGCACGGGTGTGAAGAAACGTCTGTGAACGGAAAGAGGGGAGATTTAAATCAGAGGTGTGAAGAGATTCCTCCTCCCTGTGAGGATGGGCAGGCCCTGGAGGACCTGTGGCTGCCCCTAGAGGTGCTCAAGGATGGGTTAGCTGGGACTTGGAACAATCTGGTCCAGGTGTCCGTGCCCTGGGTTGGAACTGGATGGTCTCTGCTATGCCTTCCAACCCAGGTCATTCTGTGAGTCTGTAGTTTTCCCCGCTGAAAATAGAAGGATGTGGAGAACACATTCCCAGACTCTTCCTTCTGCAGATGACACACTCATTTTAATCCCCTGGATTTAAGGAAGGAGCCTGCCTGGCACTGCAGGTGTTCACCTTGCTCAGCACATGGGGACAGTGGGAGGTGAGCTCCTGCACGGGCAGGAATGGCTTGGAGGAGAGCAAATGCCAAAGGGAACTGGGTTCATCTCCTGCCAAAGGTTGGTCGCAGCCCCAGGAGAGGCAGCGAGCACTGAACAAGTGCCCCAGGCCAGGGTCAGAGCAGAGGAGCAAGGCAAGGACCAGAGCAAGGAGAAATCACGGGGACACAGAGCCCTGCAAACGACATGATGGGAAGATGATCCCTAGCACAGCATGAGACACACATGCCAGGGAATCCGTGATGTAAAGTCAGGCTCAAACCAAGCTCTCTCCCAGGCTCAAACCATGCCAGGGAATCTGGGATGTAAAATCAGGCTCAAATCAAGCTCTCTCCCCGCTCTGAAATCCAGTAATGCCTGAATCTGGAAAGAAGATGGATTTCCCTTATCTTTGTGCACGTTATCCACAGGCAAAGCCACTTCAGGATGCAGACTGACAGTCTGGAAGCATCATCCCTCTGCCAAAGCACACCTGCAGTGGCAATGCCACCTTGCTGCCCTCCTTTCTGCCTGTGCTGGAGAGGAGGATGAGGGCTAGCAGCTATCAGAGAGGCTTTCTGTCCCAGCTCTGCTGGTGCCTCATTGCCAGCAGATGAGTTAAGGAGAGGGGGATGTGATGGAGCAGAGAGATGTCCTGCCTCAAGCCCTGTCCTGCCAGGTGTAAGGCTGTGCAAACAGCCAGGACAAAGGCAGTTAATCTGCCTCTGCTCCACTTCCCTCAGCCCCCATAATATCCCTCAGAAAGGATGAGGTGGTTGGGTCTCCACAAGAGAGGGGAGATGGCTTAAAGGCTCTGCAGCTCCAGGCAGTTTGTGGTCGCACCCCAGAGGAACTGTGGCATCCTTGTCTTGCATGTCAGGATGTGGAAATGCTCCTTTGAGCCTTCCGTTCCAAAGCCAGGTGGAACTAAGCCTGCATCATTCCCCTCCTGAACATTTGGCTCATCAGGGTGGTTAAATTCCCCCTTTTCTCATCAAACTGTTCTGCTGTCCAGGTGTCAGCTTTGCCAGGGTCTGACAGAAATGCTGCACCCTCAGCAATCCCTGTTTGTGGGAAGCACATGTGGCACACATCAGAGATGGACCTGAGGCCTGAGAGGGCTCTTCAGACACCCACAGCCCAGCCATGGGTGTTGTCAGGACCTCCAAGAGCTGAGTCTGTGTAATTTAATTTGTTTATAATAAATATTCTTTGCAGGCAGTCTCAAGGATTTTGCCTGTGCAATGCAGCAGGCTGAGCCTCCCCACTCTCCTTTTGCTACCAGATACCTGGGGCCTCGCCTCAGTGCTGAAATAAACTTTAAATCACCCTCTATCAACACAAACATTAGAAAGAAAAGACTTCACCAGCAGATTTTCCATTTCCAGCTTAATCTGCTTGACAGCAGTTTTACAAACTATCTGAGCTTCATGATCCTGCTTGCCTCTTTAGCTGTAAAAAAAATAAGTGTTGAGGAGCATTTAAGCCATGCAACTAAGCCTTCAAAATTGACACAAACTCTTTAGAGGTGCCACCTGGAGTCTCAGATACTTCAGTGCTAAGAAGGGCAGATCAGACAATATTTGCAATGATGCAGCTACCATTCAGGGAAAGGTTCTTAAATCTTTTCCTCACATTTTTTGGGGGATTGTGTAATGCCCAGGAGCATCCCATGCTCACTGGCAATAAATGGCAGCATAGGCACAAGAAATGTTGGAAATAATGTTGAAAACTCAGCTTTTGCTGTATCCCAGAACCCTGCAGGGCTCAGGAATATATTTCCTGGCCCTGCGCTGGGCTAACTTTGGAACAACCCAAAACACATCAAAACAAGGAGCTGTAAAGCAGCAGCTGTGATTGATTAATCACAGTAGTGAAGCTGAAGGGTTTGATCATTTTCATAAGCTCTTTAACATCTTATTCTCCAAAGAAGGAGGGGTTGCCACAGACGTGGAACAAAGCTGATCACAAAGTGGAGCTGATTCCTTCTTGGAAATTCTCTGGAGCTGCTGTGTGCCCAGCTCCTGTGTACACCCACAGCTCAGAGCCTGCACATCAGAGGACACTGCAAAACCTGCCCAAGGACCAAAGGACAGTGCAAAACCTGCCCAAAGGACACTGCAAAACCTGCCCAAGGACCAAAGGACAGTGCCAAACCTGCCCAAAGGACACTGCAAAACCTGCCCAAGGACCAAAGGACAGTGCAAAACCTGCCCAAAGGACCAAAGGACACTGCAAAACCTGCCCAAAGGACACTGCAAAACCTGCCCAAGGACCAAAGGACAGTGCAGTGCAAAACCTGCCCAAAGGACACTGCCAAACCTGCCCAAGCACATCAGCACCAGGACCAGATCACCTTGTTAGACAGAGGGGGATTGCTGCAAGGAGCGGCATCTTGCACTGTAAAAATCCTAATTTCTATCTCATCTACATGTCAGTCAAACAAGTGACATGTGCTGTGCCACATACTCCAGGGGACACCGTTCCAGGCCTTCCCCTGGAACAATCCAATGTCAGTGTGTCAGGACATCCCTCTGGCTGTCCTGAGCAGCCCAGACCCTGCCAGGGGGCTCAGAGCCCAAAATGCCCCTGTGGGTTTGATTATGACCCATGGAGCAAGTTACCAACCTTAGATGAAGATCTGCAAGCCATGACAAATTCAGTAGAATGATAGTGAATTTATCACAAGGTGAAAAATAGATTTTGGGGTTTTTAGAATGGGGATTTAAAGGGGCAAAATGGAGAGATCTGAGCGTGTCCAGCCTTTCTCCTTCTTCTTCTTGGCTTCCATCTTCTGCTGTGATGGTGGCACTTTTAGATTGGTTTAGAGTAGAAGCTCACTGTCTAACATAGGTGATAGGTATTGGGAAGTAATTGTAAATATTGTACACGTAGTTTTTAGTATAAAGACAAAACACTGCCCTGGGGCAGGCAGAGTGCCTGGAACTGTCCTGCTGGATGGACCTCGGCAGGGCAGGAGAAAATTTTTATAAATAAGACACAATAAACAGCCTTGAGACTGAGAAATGAAGAGCTCTGACTCCTTCTTCAAGCACCGGACTGAGAAAAGAGACTTTTGAACCCTTCTCAGGGTCACTCTGACAAGCTAAAGATCCTGACATCAGTCTGTGGATTCAGAGTGAATTCTGAGGAGAGGAGAAATGATGCTTCACTGTGCAAAGCAGCAACATCTGCTGTTCCTGATGGCATTTTCCATTTCCCTTCCCCCTTTGTGACAGCCACCTCATCACATTCTCTCCTGCTTCACTGAGGCCCTTTGGACTTCTCCTTTCCTGAAATCAGAGCAGACAGCAGCAGGTTCTCAGCAAAACAAAGTTTTCTGAGCATATTTGAAACCTGTGCCTCTTCAGTGAGGTTTGTGGGTCCTCCTGCCAGCTCCTGCTGCTTGAAACAACCTGAAGGAGTGGCTGACCCTGGCTCCATCACACTGCTAAATATGCCCGCAGGATGTCTCCAGATAAGTTACTTTGATTTCTCCAGCTCATCCCCAACTGCAGTTTTTAATCCTGGGGATAACAAAAGGCTGATCCTCAGCTGCCTCCCAGGATCCCAGGCTCTGGCAAAGCATCGTTAGCTGTCTGCTAGAATTGCAGCACCCAGGGAGTTTGAACAAAGAGCCCCAGGCAGTCCCAGCCTGAAACACTGGGAACAATGCCATCGTTCCCAGAGAGGGGAAGATGTTTGGAAATGCAATTTCCGAGGTCACCTTTTATGATCCAGGCACACCACAGAGCCTGAGAGCTCCTTCTAACAGCCAAAGCCAGCGCTGGGACTTCCCACAATGCTGGAACAGTGAGTTTCCAGCTGGTAACAGCCCCATTTCCAACAGGTCCTCTCTTCCTCCCCAAATCCCACAGCAGCAGTTGCCCACCAAGCCTCTCTCAGAGGGATTTCAGTCTCGTTCCTGAGGAGAACAAGGCTTGGTCCGCTAATCTCAGAGGCTAAAATAATTGTATGCTTTCTTTGAGAAATGGTTCCAGCACAGCCTGGGAGATGCAGCGAGCCCAGACAGAAACATATTTCCCTTGTGGTTGTGCTGCTGCCCGGCTGCCAGCACACAGACAGGCTGTTTGTGCCTCGCTGGGCACAGCCCAGTCGAGTGGTTAACCTGACAACGGGAGCGTTTCTCTGAACGCTGGGGCCACCTCAGCTGACCCCAGCCCAGCTCCACAGCTC